ATGTTTGCCTTATATTTCAATACGAAAAACAATTATTGTCTTTCTCTTATCGCCTCAACTCTCATGCCATTCATTATAACCACTCTTTTCTAGCATTTTTATACCTGTATATCGTATCAAAACTTTTAAAACTTTTTTAATCTCAAGTTTAAAGAAAAAATATTTGTATAAAAAATGCATTGATTTCTATGTAATGCTGTCTTAACCCGACTGTAAGTCATGTTTACACAAAATGCATAACTTTTTGCATTACGTGTTGTGTTTATGGAGTGTTAAGTAGAGCCCCGAACGCAATACCTATAGACGACAGTACAGTATAGCCGCATATATGAGTCAATAGCACATAACGATTACAGTTATGTGTTTGCAAATTGACATCAAATGACAGTCCAATCGCTGATCCAATGAGTGATTCAATGATATGTCAAACAAACGCACATTTTTTGATCACTTTTGTAACGTTTCGCTCAGTTTTCTATTGTTTTCACATTTGTATGACTTTTTGAAAGTTTCATATAATTGAAATAATAATGTAAACGTACTATTGTCAATGATTTAACCAATTTTGAGACAAATATAGCAAACATTTGCCAACAAAATGTGATAATAATTGTGTAAATAGTGTTCAATTGTGTTTGTCTTGTATTTATACATAAGATGTCAGTCAATGATAACACTGAAGATAATGACAACAATCACTTGGCTTTGAGTCACCCATTGATTGGCAGTCAAGTGAACCAAATAGAGGAAGTGAATGATCTGAAGAATCGCTTGTCTTTCAATGACTTCTTCTACACATTGGTGGCCAAAGTGTCCAACAATCCAGGTATGAGTCGGTCACCATTTGATCCATTGATTGCTTAGACTAATGACATGCTTTGAATGGCATTCGCAGACAAGTGCAACGTCTGGAACTATGTCTTGTTGGACATGATCGAGAATAATGTGATAAACGAGTCGATGCTGTCGGATGTGCTGAGGATGACCACCGATGCGACCCGAAGCGAGTCGGTGGCGAACCGTGAGTTCAGTTGTCATATGGTGTCCAAACTGAGTCGACGTCTTAATGAACGCGTTTTTATGGACCGAATCCTACCGTTAGTGCAATACCTGTGCCAAGACTTGCAGCCCTCCATCAGAGCCCATATCTCCAGACAAATGTTTGTTTTGTCGCAAAACTTTAGGTATTTTTCTNCTTGCAGCCCTCCATCAGAGCCCATATCTCCAGACAAATGTTTGTTTTGTCGCAAAACTTTAGGTATTTTTCTTATCAATCCATTTGTGACCCAAATGTTGAGTGATTTGTTTGATTAGTTTGCAGATAATTAAGACACAAATTCTGCCCAAACTCATGGATATGACGAACGACAGCGAACTCATCGTCAGAAGTAATCTTCATTTCTATCATATTTAAGAAAACAATTAATTGTTGTGTTTTTGTCCAACAGTCGCGTCCCTGGAGTCGCTCATTGATTTGATCCCCAAATTTGACGACGAGTTTAATAAACAGATAATTTTACCGCAAATTATCTCAATCTTTGATTTCGCTCTCGTGGAGAACGACTGTTCCCTGAGCTTGATTTTCATGAATTTCGCAAAATTGTGTCAAACTTTGCCAAAGAATGTGATTTCGCGTGAGAAATGGTTTCTCGACTATTACTGCAATATCTTCTTAATTTCCAATGACTTCCAAATGGAGCCAAAAGTTTCAAACTTTGAACGAGACTTTACCGAACGAGACGCTCAATGTCGGGCCCTTTTAGCCCTCTATTTCCCCGTAAGACTCGTGTTAAACCCTAACAATTCATGTCTTAATCAGTGATTTAATTTTCTGTGCGATAGATTTTGCTGCAAATCTATGGTTCAAACGATACGCTCTTTTCTATTCTCAACTTTCTTTGCTGTGATCTCGACATCAGTGTTGTCAGAGCCATAAGCTCTGTGTTCAATGAGATCTGTATTCTTATGAAGAATCCGTTCATACTATACCCACAGTTATCCAAACTAATGAGTCAACGAAATATTATTGTGATTAAAGCCTTGTCCCCTTCATTGGCTACAATTCTCATCAATACAATCAAATCGACGCCAATCGACAAAAAGGTATTCATTTGATGAAAACATTTTTGTAGAAAATATTCACTCATTTTTGTTTGTTTGTAAAGAATGAGTTATTTGTCGATTTAATACAAAACTTAATTGGATGTGAAAATACGATTTGTCTTAACCTCGACTGGAGATTACAGATTAAATTCTACGAAAATCTGATCCAAGTTTTGGTACACTTTCCCGTCAATATCATTCAAACAGTATTCTTGCCATTACTTCTCAATAGGATTCTCACATCTGTTCGTATTATTTGACATGAATTTAATTTAACATTTTGATAACTTATTGTGATTTTCTGTATCAATATTTAGAGACCCATTCCTTCCCGAATCGAGACGTCTAGATGTTTGCTAATCTTATTTCTTAATCTACCGGTTCTATCAGAAGTATTTAATATTTACCAGTGGTTTGTCACCACTTTATGTTGTGGTCAAAGTTGGTCTCAAAGAATGCTATTTATAAACGTCTGCTATATTATCATTGAATTATGTGATGAAAATATATTTATTTCCTATTTTTTGGAGCCTTTACTAAGTCTTCGCACCGACAAAGTGCCAAATATTAGACTAA